CGAAATTGTTTTTTTTTTTCGTACACAGCGCACTATATTATTTTTCGTAATTTTTTCTCTCTCTGTCTTTCTCTTTCTGGTCCCCAGCCACAGCAGTGACACAAGCCTGTTATTCTATACCTACGTTATATCCATGAATGCGCTTAATGACTTTGGCGGCAAAACGAGCGTTATACACGTTTCGATTATTATTATTATTATTATTATTATTATTATTATTATTTACGTGTATATAGTATATAGTGACTTGGATAGGCCGCCGCCGCCACATACGTGTGTTGTGGTATAGAGTATATTATATATATTATATTATACCTGTATATAGTATAGACGCATAATATGCACGGCGGCGGCGGCGTAGTACACGACGGTGGGCGTTACCTCGGCCGGTCCTGTTTGGTACCCAATTAGCCGCTAAATTACGATCTCCCGAGTCTGCTACTGAATTTAACACGACACAATGTACCGGGAGCGCTTAAAAATCGAATGGTTTTTTTTCTCCTCTTCGTTTTTCTTCTACCTCCTGCTCGTTCCACCTCCACCGCCACCACCACCTTCTCGTCATCGTCGCCGCCACCGCCGCCGTCTTGCGGTGGTATTCTCGCTCCTACCTAATTCGTTCGGAATCGGTTGTAAATTACACCCTTTGAAGTATCCGCCGGTGTGCGGCCGTGTGTATGGCCGCTATAATATAATATACGCTGCGTATATATATTGTACTATTGCAGCTATACCTATATATAGTGTATACGTACAGTGTAATACGACGACGATTTCGGGTTTCCACGTGCAGGGCTGCCGCCGCCATAGAGTCCGCGCAGCACCCGCGATTAGAGTGACTTGGGAGTTAAGAATTATGCGTTTTCGTATATTTTCGTTTTTCGGGTATCCAAACGAGCCGTATTTTTTTTTCTTTAACGGTTTTGCGGCACCTATATATGTTATAACACATTAACACGGTAATTTGTATACGCTCGACAATCTCACACGACGCATTCACATCACTGCACACGTGTTCTGTACACGATAAATCACGACAGTGTTTACGGTAGAGTCCTTCGACGCTCGTGGATTATAAGAAAAAAATCCAGGCCACTTCTAGGAATCGTAGTGGTCAATATGAAATAACAACCCCAATTGAAAAAAAAAATACAAAAAGGTTCGAAACGGGTTAACATTAAAAGTTAATAGAACTAAACGATATAATGGAATTTCAAAAAGAAAAAAATTTAGTGTCGAGTTTCAAAGAAAATAATATCTTATATTATATTACTATTATGGAAGTACTCATCGAGTGTATAGTATATAGTATTATATTATGTGCAGTATAAGCAACGTATTATTACGGTTAACGTTCGAGCAATTTTTCAAAGAATGTTTTTACTAAAAACATAAAATATATAATAATATATAAAACACTGCTATAATATGTACACGCGCAAACAAAACTCGAACATCATAATAATAGTTTATTTCAGAAACAATAGAACCGCCGTGCACATATAATATAAATTATAATTATATTATACCGTAGAGTATTTTCGAAATGAAAACTCGAAAAAATCGTCTGTAATAACTAATAAGCTGTGTAAAAAATATTTTAACAGAATATGTTTCATACACTTGGCAGTACAGTGGTCACGATAATCTCAAAATTCGATACATTTTATTTCTTTAGATATTGACAGCGAAAAATGTTTTTGATTTTTAAATATTGACGATTTGTATACTTTTACACTATCGCAGTACCTACTTAGATTCTCAAGTGACCTATTTTTTTTCCTATCAAAAACTTCTCATCTTATTCAGAAATAATATGCAGGCATTAAACAGCCTTGGGAATAAGTATTTTCGTGTTGAAAATCTTCTTAAAAATTATAATTACCACGCTGCTGCACACGCGGCCGAAGATGATAATAATAACAAGTTATTATGTTTCGGCTCTATACGTTAAGGATGACTATACAACAACAACAACAAAAACAACGTACGCCTGTAGTTACAATATATAATAAATTATACACTCGACTCGTCTACAATAATATATATATACACATTATTATAATTTACATTATACCTATACAACTGTATACTATCACTATTTTCTAATGGCATAGTTGAAGGGAGTATTTGAGATCTGTATATTGTTTTTTTAAATGTTAGGACGATGGTAATAGGTTGATCAGGGTACGTATATTATAATGAACATTAGGTATAAGCACTAGACAGACTGTCAGCTGAGGGCTGTGTTTGTATTATATAACCGTGAACACTGAGAGCACCCTCGGAGTTTTTCGAATAATAATTGGTAAAGTTCACAACGCCACTGCAGCCGAGTGCAAAGAGCAATACATATTATTATATGGTAACGTGTGTGCCTCTTTATAAGTGGAACGACATTGGGTGGAAAAAAATAACAACAAATGACCGTTTTTGTTTCTGTATTTTTTTATTACATATATATATTGTTTTTTTGTCTTTTAATCGAGCGAGCGCACGCGTGCATGGTTGAAATCACGACGGTGGTAGATACGTATATATTATTATACGACGTTAATGATCACCGGCAGAGATCTATTCGGTGACATTGCGCGCGCGTTTATTATATTATTATGTTGTGCGAGCAGGTTTTTCACTCGTACCGCCGCCACTGCCGCCGGCGGACAAATTACGCGCGTGCACTCGCGCGACCGTCGGTAACGGGAAACGAGGACGACAAATTCCGAAGCGGATGGGGGAAAAAAAACACGAAAACAAGACGAGTGGTGCTCGTATGCACGCGCGAGCAGTTTTTGTTTTCGAACTCAAGGAATAGGCCGCCAAAAGTACTCAGAGTCGCACACTTGATGTCTAAGCGCAAATTTGCACTCCCTCCTCGCCCCATTCTTTGTAGGCGTTTCTAGGGGATGCTCTGGAGCAACCAGTGATTTCTACGATACCCGCTGGCTGCTGCCAACCGATTGATTCACAAATTCCGTTATGATGCCCGCAAAACGATTTACACCGAAGGTATTTCGTCGAAATCAATTAGGTAATTATGTATTTTGCAGCAACTCTCACAACTTCCCCGTCCCTCGATCGTACCCTTCCGTCGAGGTTATATTGATCATAGGACATATAAATATTTAATATTATAATATATAATAATGTACGGCATACAGCCATTGCGGCCTTCTACCTTGTGGCAGATCTAAACTCGATTTTGGGTTGCAAGGGTGAAGGCCGTCTATACGTCCGAAGGTTAGTTGGTACAGTTAATTAATATAAAATGTACGATTTACACGTAGTTGTTTACAAAGTTCAAATACGTGTTTAAAATTCCCACCGGTATAATATCGTAAAGATACTAGGTACTTAAATTATTGCAATCAACTCCGACGTAATTATTTGATGATGATATACGGAAAAGCTCGTTTGAAAACTTACGTTTTAATAATTACCATATAGAACAAACCACAGCGAGATCGGAATTCGAAGACAACTTATAGAGACCAAATCGGGTTCAAAAGTCCCCCCCCTCTGTGAGCCTTTTCTCGGGTTCTAGCGAGATCCCAAGTGGGCCACTTCGAGACATTGTCATAATATTGCTCCTGCGTCCAGCCGCGCGCGGTAATACAATATTACGGCTCATTCAAGAGTCGCTGTGGCGCCACTGCAAAGCATTATGTCGCGCGCTTATAAAACGCAGTACATGCAGAACCCGCGCCGAGAACAAGCGCGCGCGACGACGACCGACGACGATTCGTTTAGGCGTGTAATTAACGGCGGCAGCGGCGGCGCGTCACGGACCCGCGGAGGTCGCGGCGTTTACCTCTGATGTTTTGCCGCCCGAGCGGGGTCACGCCGCCGCTCCAACACGATATGTATATAATAATATTATTATACTTACGCCGTCGCCGACACCGCAAACACATTCGTGTAATATAGCACGCGCGTACGACATGATAATATCGTAATAAATCACATTTTAAGTAGGATTTATCGTACTTGTTGCAATGCGTGCAGCCGCAGAGGATTGTTGAAAAAATTCTCATCTCGTATACGATTCCGGATATCTTATATATTATGTTCTTATTTACTAACCTGCCAGATTATTATTCAACCGAATTCCTATCATAATATATTATTCGTTTCGTTAGCGATCCACCTGACGTATAGGCTATATATACCCGGCCGAGCGATCGGATACTGTGTATTTACCTGCGCTGTAGCGACAGCCCGATGTACCGCGATATACCACGACCACGGTGCGCAGCGACGGGACGGCACGGGCAGGACGTATACCGCGGTGGTGGTATTCGTGTCGTGTATGACCGGCGCCTGCCGCGCAATGACCGCGGTACAATGGTAAATACGCAGCATCGCGAAAAGAAAGACAAAAAATAAATCGAATTTTTCCGATACGCGACCGTTCCGTTTGTGTCCGTTGGCTGTTTTTTTCATCATTTATACATATATAGAGGTACCCATATTCTTTGCATTCCACACGAATCGTTTACCCCTCTGGCCGTCGTCGTCGTCGCGCATATTCTGCAGCAGCAGTGTCGTGTCGGTTGAACCGCTCATCGTCGTCGGTCGAGTATGAAAAAAATTTTTTACGATAAACAAATCACGCGAACACGTATTACTTGCACACTATGCACAACTGTTGATCGCAGTATGTATAAAATATGGGTATTAATATTATAGGTATTTAATTTTAATAACGCGGCTCAAATAATAATCATTTAAACAGTGTGCAAATGTATATACCTGATAATATTATTATACAGGTAGGAGGAAGGTACTAGAGCTTTAATTGCGATATTCATCGCGTCGCCCACCCCCGGGGACGAATACACTATATTTATGATGATTTTAAGTTTTTGAAGTACATTTTTTATAAATCACAGCGTCTCGTTGAAGTAGGATATTTGCCGCATACGAATACCTACCACCTGTGCAGTGTTATCACCATTATGAATTTGTTTTAAACGTTTGTACGTGTTTTTTGTTTTCAGATATTACTCTTTTTATCAGCCGTTTTCCTAACCTGTGGACTGATCGGCGCCCAAGATGACTCGTCATTGACGTACCGAGTGTCTGCCGAGCGAATTGTACAGGTACGAATTCCTGAGCTATATTTTAAAATAGCAAATCGTCATATTAATATAACTTTTTATATGACCAATGTGTTTTGTATGTGCATACAGGATACCAGTAATTATGTGGAAACCCGGAGTGCGGAGCAAAAGTTTTTGAAAAAGTACATGTTATCTCCTGATGTGACATGCAACGATGGATCTCCAGCAGGGTAAATACCAAGACACTATAAGTGTAATAATCATAGGTATAATCTGGGATAAATTCTTGGGGGGACGGGGGGCAGTCTGTGTTAAAACTAAAATATCTATAAGGTAAGACACTATTGCCTCCTCAGTTAAATGCTCGTACGAATTGATCAGCTCAGAAATGAATATCTAAGTAAGAATTACAAGTTATAATAATTGTGTGTTTCCGTAGGTTTTACGTGCGCCATTCAAACTATAGTAAAACATGGATAGTGTTTCTCGAAGGTAATAAACAGATGGATACTAAAATTGTTAAAATGTATTCAAATTAAAATAATCTTAGTAATCGCGTTGTATTGTATATGATGTATATAAATGTTTTTTCGTTGTTTTAGAGGGCTGGTGTTGTTACGACAAACAAAGTTGCGACGAACGTTGGTCGCGGGCCGAATACCTCATGTCATCGAAAGAATGGCCCGAAACTCGAACAGGTAAGTTATACCCACGCGGTTACAAAGAATTTCATTAAAACTTTACTAAAAAAAAAAATTATTTAACTGCTATTCAGGCGGAGGAATATTGTCCAATAATGCGGCTGAAAATCCTTACTGGTGGCAGGCAAATCACGTGTGAGTACTTACTTTGACTGGTCATGGGTCATTATTGTATAATATTTATGCGAATATGTAAAAAAAAGGAAAAATGAGTAAAAACACATAGCCATTGCTTTAATATTATATGTTTATTTTCAATACCTACCTACAAAATCAATAGGCAATAAAAAAATAATCATATACTATGTATGTGGTTGAATAGAATAATAGAGGAATCGACTAAATTATCTATTTATTTAACTATAACGTTTGTGTGAACTTAAAAAAAAAAAAATTTAAATCTGTAGGACGATTTAAGGGAGGAAAAATGGATTTACTAAAATTAGGCTGTACTTGAAGTAGTTTCAGCTGTAGTACACGATAGATCACATATCATATTAATTGGTGGGGGGGGGGATATTGGAAAGTGATGTCATATTATATAATATGAGTAATATGATAATTGTTCAGTCATTTTCTATATAAATACGAAAGTAATTTGTAATATATTTCAATAGTAAACTAATTTCGCTATGTAATTTATTTTTATATTTCAGTTTCGTGCCGTATTGTACTAGTGATATATGGACAGGTCGGAGAGCAGAACCACAACATGGATCGAAATTCACTTTTATGGGCTCCATAGTGATTAAGCAAGTCATCAGAGAGCTATTAACTATAGGTTTGGCCAATGCCAATGCTCTCATACTCTCTGGAAGCAGGTATTATATTATATTACATTATCTATATATTACCTATAAATCAGCACAACTTTAACAACACGTTATTTTAAAGTTGTATTTCACAAGGAAAACATATAATTTTAACTATTTTATCTGTAAATTATTTACTAATAAATATTTTTTTATTACCCCACATTTATATAAGTATGATTTTTTATAGCATTATAATTATTATCAATAATATTGCAGTATCTGCAGGTAGTATAATATATAAATATGACAGAATGTTATGATTTCGAGATTACATAAATTTCGTTTGGACTCGAAAAAACATTATAATATACAGACCTGGAGTCACATGTTTATTGTTTATGGAGAGTAGCCATGTAATTGATCTCCCCCCACATTTAGTGTAATCTATTAAAAGTAGTACAAATTTCAATAATTGTAGATAATACTAGATATATTATAATAAAATTGTATTTTTATTTTTATTACTATTAGGTAAAATTCTGTCCCCTCCTTTAAACATCTTAAATATGCTACTTAGAGTATATTTCATATAGACATAATGGCACATTATTAAGTGATGTCTATCAAAGGTGTGGCCAGTGTCACCATGCTATTTTATACAATAATACTTTTTGAGTATTGCGAAAACGCAGGTACATTTGTCTGAAATAACAAATGATATGGTTTTTGTTTTAGTGCTGGGGGTGTCGGAGTCATGTTGAATCTGGATCCCATTCAAAAGATGTTGAGACAGTACAGCGGCATGTCGGTCCACGGTATCACGGACTCCGGTTGGTTCATGGACCAGCAGCCGTACGATATTGAGGACGAAGGTGGTTCGTCGGCGTCACCAGTCGAAGCCGTGAAACTAGGCATCCCTTACTGGCACAGCCAGATACCATCCAGGTGTCGGAACCTCTACATCAACGAGCCTTCCAAGTGTTTTATCGGTTACAAGATTTATCCTACATTATCGGGTGAGTACCTACTTTATAACTATGGTACATATTACTACATAAAGTGCAAGATACAGCATTACAGCCCATATAGGTACAGGCAAGGCGTCTCGTCTGATACGCTGTATCTTACGGTGAAGAGATTTCAACGTGAAAATATACACTAATATATACCTTGTACAGTTGTACCTATAGTGTGCAGATCCCATTATCTAATAGCCTATGTATAACCCATGGTGGGACACCAACTTTTTTATTTAACTATTTCCGCGAACCTCAAATAAAACTATAATTGGTCCAATAATGACATATTATGTAGGTGTATATTACTTGCATCTTCTGTACCGTAGCTCAACATTTTAATGCCTACACTCGATTGTACTTCAGTTTTCCCAATCCGTTTTTCCCAATACATTTTTCCTAACTTAAGCATTTCCCAAATCTAATATTCCCAATCTAATTTCTCCAATTTCAATATTTACCATAAATATATTATCCCAATATATATTTTTACAAATTTAATATTTCCCAAAAAATGCCATTGATCATAATTTAAAATTTTAATACAGTTTTATTTATTTATACTATTTTTTTACTATACTTGTACATTTTAAAATTAACAATTTGTTAATTATTTATTTAATAATTAATAATCAAATAATTTAAACTACTTTTTTTATAATACATGCTTATATATTTTAAAATTAACAATAAATAATTTCTTATATTTTGTAAGATCGTATAATGATAGATTTGATATTGTGAAAAAGAACTTTTGGGAAAAATGGTATTGAGAAAAAGAACTTTTGGGGAAAAAAATGTGAAAAATTCAAAAATAGATTGGGAATAGTGTCTCCCTACCCCTACACTCAGTGCCGGCGCTAGGGGAGGACAAATGGGACATATATCCAGGGCCCCGCACTTGTCAAAGGTTCGATTTTTAATTATAATCTTAATGCCGTAAGACACATTGACATTTTACGTAATTATATTAACAAATTATAAATCTATAAATGTATTATTCTATACTACACATCACACAATATTATATATTATATTAATATTATTCCTATCACCAGTTATTTGGAAAACGATATCTAAATCTAGCCAAAAATATTTACCTTAATTTTAACAACAAAGTAAATCATTATCGATACGACAAAAGAGTAATATTTTGAAGATACCCTTCGGATAGGATCCCTACAATAAATATTTATTATCTCTATAGTTATTGTTTTCTCTGTTCTTTATTTGGAAAGGCTTTCCACGTATTGCCGTATGTCCTTATGGCAGTACCATAGAAGGGGCAAGAGCTATATTTTTAAAATAATATGATTTGATTAGGTATCTAAAATTCATATGTTCTTACTTCAATGAAATAATATTGTTGTTGTATGTACCTAATTAGTTATTATTTTATTATTTGTAAATAATTTTGTGTTAGCACATTATAATTTTAAAAAAAGGATAATAATACCCTAATATTATTATTTTTAATGTTTAAAATTCAAAGAAATACAATAATTTTTTTTAAAATCTCGATTTAAAAAAAGCTAGAATTTTACCCTCCTCTGGGGTACCTAATAACTAATACCTTGTCCAGGGCCTCGCATACCCAGGGCCGGCACTGCGGCTACACTTTTGGGTTTCTTAACCAATGTGTCTTTCAATCCGAGCATTATTGATCATATTGCACGTGTCACAGTAGTACGAAGCAGTTCACACTCATTATTGATGGTTGATAATCATTATAAATTAATTATATGTATCAAATAATAATTGACGAAAAAATCATTCGACGTGTTGTTTCAGTCCCGCTGTTCGTATTTCAATGGCTTTACGACGAGTTCCAGCTGAAGAACGATGTCGGCACTCCGGTCACCAAACAGCAATGGGACTACATACACAAGATGGGCGAAAGGCTACGAAAATCATTACTCAACGTCACGTAAGTGCGCTCTTCCTACGCATATATACTTAAACTATGTACAAAGGGGTGGTCCAAACATTTTGTTCGTTTTAACATTTTAACATTTTATAAGTATTTGATATTAGACAATTGTAGTACTTAACGTCTTTGTATGAACATCATGTACATTGTGTATATTATAATATAATGTCAAATTTAAATTTAAATATCTTTGGTTACCTAACCTTTTTGGGGGTTCTGGTTTCTCTAATACCTCTGAATTCCCCCTCCCCGTAAATAGGCCACTGAACACACAGTTTATTTAAACCATGCTCATACCTACTGCCCTTAGCAGCGTATACACGTCATCGTACAGACGTCGAGGTCGAGCCAGGCTTTCAAGTGCATAGGGGTAATTTTGGGGGGAGGGGGCAATAATATCTTTTTCCCTACTAGATTTTTAGTTTAACCACAATCAGCCTTACCCCCCACGCCCACAAGAATTTACCCAGATCGCGCCTGTTGTCCACGTGTTATTGTGACTTGTGGACCTGCATCAATATAACCATATATAGATAACATTATTATGTTAGTTCGTATTTACTAATTACTATTGTGCTCGTGTACGCAGGTCGGTGTTCGCCCCGTCTTGTGTTTCCCATACGGTGCTCACGAAGAAGGACTGGAAGAACATCAAGATCGACTCGGTGTCCCTCCCTACGGCATTGCACTGTTGGCAGACTGAGACGAGATTCGCGAAGATGAACGGCAACGGCAACGGAAACAACAATCATTATAATAATAACAACAGCAACAAGTCTAGACCAGGCCGGGCAAACGGAAACGGAAACGGCAATCGCGGTGCGGGTGCCCACAACAAGAGGCTGACGAAAGTCGACAGGCAGACGGTGACCGATAACGCGACCAAGAAGAAACAGAACAAGATGCATCGCAACGATCATCGATCTGGAGGTACATATTATATTATACGATGTACCTAACTATATTATCAGTAGCGGTGTGAAATTTTATTCACTATTATACTATTCGCTATTATACTAAAAAATTTCGTTTATTCAAATCGAACTCTATAAGTATAACTCTATACTCTTGATGAGGTTGTGGGGAGAGGTGTACCTACACTTAAAAAAAATATTACATTGAAATACTCATACCAAACTGGTTTTAAATTTAAAATTTTAAACAATATATAAGAATGATAATTGGCATGTGTCTAAGCTTTAACGAAAGTTATACAGTATTAACACGTAATTTCTTATATGTGTGAGTACTTATACCCATGGGAAATTTTTTAACTCGTTAATCTCAACACACAGTTTTTTTGAGTTACTTATGTGAACCAAGTCCTATATTATACATTAATGTTAACATACGGTGTGACGCAATTACACTTGTGTCACGGTATGATTTTTAAATCCGAGATCTGAAACAAATACTTTTTAACTTTTATCTACGTGTAACGAAGACGATTTTCTCGAAACTAATACTATAATATATGTTATGCCTACATAGCATTGGTTCATAAGAAACGCAGACGTCACCACAAAAATCACGGGAGCTGCAGACACCAGCACATTCAGAGCTGCACTTGGCCGCAATGCAACAACTCGTGTCCAAAACTTCAAAATCCTGCAACGGGTAAGACAGTTTAGATCCTATATAAATTATAATAAATACAAGTTGTGACCATATTAGGTACAATACGTTATACGATTTAACCTAACTTTTTTAAAAACGATTTATTAATCGAATTAATATAGGTAATAATATTCAACTTAAAAAATAAAAAAACAATTTTTTTAATTCTGATACAGCGGCATAATTTGAGAGAGAGAAATGTAGGCATTTGCCCCCGTCTGATTGCTAAATCAGTCCAATTGTTGGTGTAATAATATCTTTGACTATAATTTTTCTAATTTTGAGGAAATCTGGAAGTATAAAATTGTGTAAGCACAAGAAAACTGTAGTCACGATAATAATTAATATTTATAGTTTTTTAAGTTCAAATATTGAGAAGCTGATACTATAAAAATTCTAAAAAAAAACAATCATTTCCAAGGGCTCCAATTGGGAAGACATGTCCCGCCTAGAAAATAATGAAGTATACAAAAAAATAAATATGCTTTGAATCCAAATACATATTTCATATTTAATATCATACTTGATACCTCAAACTTTTACTTAATGCTTATCGGCTATCTTTTAGTCAATGAACCCATAATCTTATGTTCATACAGAGTAAGAGGTTTTAAAATCTAGTTTCATTTTATCCCCTTGAAAATTAACGTATGGGCGACCATGGGCCACGACCACGCTTAAATGTAGGCATTTATGATTTCCAAAAAATATACCCACAAATCATACTAGAATGTATCTGTGGTCTGGAATTAGTCTCAATCAATAGTGTGTTTTAAAATCTAGGGTCACTAGTACCCGAATGGGTGACCATCGGCAACCTGGGTTTTTATTGAAAAATCCTCTGCACATATACACGTATTCTAACCAACCGTACCCTCCCTTACAGTGATAAACCTACTAAAATAACCCGAGCCATTGATCTCAGATACTGAATAAATCAATAAAAAAAAGAAAGTACAAATTTAAAATGTTTAAATTGTTGAATTACGTTTTAGTAGTCATGTTTCATATCGCAATTTTATTTTATTCTACCCCTCCAGAAAAATATAAAATTTCACCACTGAGGTATGGGAACAATAATTATTTTTAACTCCTCCGACCTCCACGGCTTTTTCGCTATACAATGATGCTATTTTTACCTTAGACACATATAAAGTTATGTAAGATGGGAATTGTATCGAGATGACAATGTAAAATGTAAATTAAAATGATTTTTTTTTGGTTCATGTTGTCGGCTGGTCAAAAGGTTTAGCCCTCCTTTTAAAAACTGAAATATTTCCACTGTACTGATATACATTTTTTTTTTGAGATAATACTTAGACAAAATGATATGTCGACTTGAAAAATATTATTCTTAAAAATTGTCTATTCCGCATGGGCCTGAGAAAAAACAAATAGAGCGCCGACATCCACGTCCTCTTAATCGATTATCTAATCTAAACAACCTAGTAGGTAAAATTTAAAGTCAACAATAGGATGGATAATAAATAAAATAATCTAACGACCTACACTTCTTATAAGCACCGGTAAAATTTGCTGCCAACAATATTATAGTAATTACCAATTGGAATAAAAAATATTTTAATTAAAAAAATCTAGTTGCTCATATTATTTTTTGAGTGAACCATTCAACCATGACGTGTTCGTGTTCAACTATATAATAATATATATGAATTAATCAGTGTTAGATAAACGTCAATTTATACATTAGGTTTTACTGTTTTTGTAATATCGTCAATGCCGATCGACAGAATTATTTAAATTTAATATTTAATTTAGCTATGTATGCTTCACTCAAATTATTGACGGATATTTGTGTTATGATATCGGTATAAGATAACGAACGTCTTTCATCTTAACATCAGTTAGACGTTAAATCAATCTAATCAAGCTGTTGCATTTGTGTTTTTTTGTACAGGCGAAGAAGTGGACTTCATCGAGCTGTTGCAGTCATTTGGGGTGAATATACCAAACCTTTCGTCCGAGCTGGGAATCGACATGGAATCGCTGGTACACATGGACCAGGATGAGCTGCTGAACCTGCTCACACAACAGTCCAATTAAACCGATACGATTATCATCATAGTTTGGGGAGGGAGGGGTTAACAGTAGGTCGGGGGAAAGGGTGTGCATTATGATGAGGGATAAGGGATGGGTCGACGCGGGATTTAAAAAATAATAATATTTATTGGGGGTGTTTTGTGTCTGGGTTTTACTGGAACGCGTCAAATTTTACCAAAAAAAAAAAAAAAATATATACTAATATTAACAAAAAAGTTTGTACATATTTTTTTTTTTTTTTTTTTATTTTACCCTATGAAAAAGTCAATTTGTCTCCATTTTTTTTTTTATGTAAATAAGTTATTTGTACATTTTGTTAAAAGAAACCAATCTCTTAACTAAAACGTCAAAACAGTAATTACCTACTGCTTTGATAGTATATGTGTACTTGAACTTGGTCACATGTAAGTACAACATTATTATTCCTTTTTAGGGACCAATATATTTTTTTTTCCAAATACACAAGTACACAACTGTATACCAAACTACCTGTTCCTTAATTTTTTAAACTAGTTTAACACCTAATGTTTTAATTATTATATATACTTAATAGTAAGTCAATATGATAACGTAATTGTTAATTTTATAAATGCGGTTTTTAAATTTTAAATAACAATATAAACAAACCATTAAATTAGATTCAATTAGCTACCTTAACCTACGTACGTACCTGTCAACTGCAGGGTCGAGTCATACAAACCGCATTTATGAAAAACCAGACATTAAACAGTTTAGTAATAAGGAATACTACTATTTTAGATTGTCAAAGAATTTCCTGAACTTCCAACTTGGAATAATCCATAGAATTAATTGGAAAAAAGTAATTGTTGTCAACATTTATTTATTCTTTTTATAAACAGCAGTTTTTTTTTAATTATTATTATTATTAAGGTAAATTATTGATTAATTTTTATAACTTTTAAAATAACTATTACTTACCGATAATGAAATTATTACTTTTGTATTTATAACAATATGTGAACATTTTTTTTATTATAAATTATGAAAAAAAAAAATGTAATCATTTTTTATAACATTATTAATCTTGAGTATGTACGAGTTTATTGTATTGTACGTACAAGTATAAGTTATGAGTGTGTGTGTAATGACATGATATTGCATAAAATAAAATAATTTCTCTACAAAATTGTATCATATAATATAAAATAAAAGTCTTTAAAGTTTTGGCAATGCTTTAATCATTTTTCACCACTGGCATTATTTGATAAAAATCGGAAAAAAAAGTCCCAGGCTAGGAAAAAAGTTTTTTTATGCAGTTGTTCAATTTTGCAGTTGCATTTAATAAAAAAATAAGTCCTATTTTTATTAATTAACCCGTAGCAACATAGGCCACTGAGTGGTTATTTTTAATAGTAAGGGAGGAGGGTACAATTGGTTTGGAATACATGTATGCATGGCGAGGATTTGTCAATAAGAACCAGGATGGTCACCCATCCTGGAATTAAGAGTTCCATTAATGGACAAATGAGCCAAATCACTTAATTTAGACTGGAGGATGATATTTGTGCGCAGACGGAAAGGTTTGAGCTGTATATTTTGTTTAATGAAATTTATGAACATAAAAAAAAATGTTCTTAACGTTACTGGGCAATAAAGACTATTCATTGATGAGAGATTTATGCACTCCAAAAAAACAGCAGATAAAAGTTATGATGAATGAAAATTATTATTATTGAATTACATTCATCCTAAACCGAATACAGAGTGGTATAAATTCAAAAGCATCAACAGTTATCAGATGAAACAATAGTTTATTTAATCGCATTACTTAAAAAATGTCTGTACATAGATATCAAAAATGTCTTTTAAAGATCTTAAGATACCTAGCAGAAATTAAAGATATCAATAATTCTGATGTAAATTTAAGAGCATATAATAAATATATTATCATTCCTCTGGGTTATTTTATCGTTAATGTTCAGGTTGAATATTGTTGTGAAAATTTTAAAATGTATTGTGTTGAAAATGGGAAGAGATTGGCTTGGGGAGTTGGACATATTATCCTCAAAATTTGACATTAATTCATTTAAGTGTGAAAATATTAGTCAACTGTTTCCATCAGTATTTAAGTATTTATTGTCAGTAGTGATTTAGTGCTTCTAAGTAATTTTAATTGTATTTGAAAGATCATGTTGTTTCTATTTTTTGTAAGCCAAGAGTACCTTTTGAAGAAAGAGTTTGATGAGTATTACCTTTTGCTCTCAAAGATAAAATGAGTGAAAACAAGAGTTAGTTTTCAATTTAAATCACACCTTTTACTTATATTATGATTTATGACTTAATGATGATGAAAAATTTAACAATTTAATAAATCTGCTTGTATTTTTATATAATAGGAATTTTGTCAACACTTTTATTGCACGGTATGAGTTTGTCCTAGTTTTTTTGCTACTCAAATTTATGACATCAAAAAATAATTTTGCTCCCTCCACACAAATTACCGTTTTTATTTTTTTATCTAAGTTCCAATAATTAAGTGATTATTTGTACACAGCTTTTGAAACTGACTTGTCCATCCTTCAGTTGTATTGTTTGTTTGGTGGCTCCCTAGTAAACCCCTACTAAAGTGATTGTATGAAGAAACCAAGGTGAAACTTTTTTCCTATGATTGGGACTTTTTTTTTACCAAATATTGTTTCTGGTATATTTTCCACAGATCATCATCGATAATAGCAACTGATATTTAAGTGCTATTACCATTTTCAAAGCCGTAATGATGAAAGTCTTTGAACACAACATTAAACTTTATCCAAACACATCCTTGACTTCTGACTCTAGTCACTAAAAACAAATATTAACAAGTTTAAAATTGTTTCAAATGAAACAAGTTAGTAAAAAAGAAAATATTTTAATTAAAATTATTATTAAAGAAAGAAACAGTTTTGTTAAAACTCCATAATGATATATTTTTAATTCAATATGCTTTTAATACCTTCTCGGCCATCACCCCTGGCTAATAACCGTGCATCCACGTATTCTGGTCTTTTACCAGTCAACCATGAAGTCAGTTTTTGTAATGTCGAACTTGATTCAGGTACAAACATAATCATCCTAAAAATTAAAATGATTAAATAATACAATGATAGCAATAAACTAGTATAATTATAGTAAAATATTGGGTAGTTAATTTTTTTTTTTTCGTTTATATATAAATTACACAGAGCTCAAAAGAATAAGTTTACAATAATACAATATGATGAATCCATCTACCACCTTTGAGCAAGCTTGTGGTGATGAAAGAGTATTGTAGGTACTTGTAACAAACAAATCAAAATATCAAATACTTACTCTTCAAAAGATTCTCCATTAACTAGTGGGAGGTGACAAACTCCATAGCCTCTCACAACATCGTTCCCAAAAGTGTCCAATCCATAAACACTAATGATTAGTTGTGGCCCTAAGAATGTGGAAATTAAATCATTATTCAAAATCAAATAAAACTAATTTAATCACAATTTTGACAAATAAAAAAAATAAAATACACATAAATAAATAGTTTGTGTATTTTGTTCATAACTGATCCGCTAGTAAATACCCAAATCATTATCATTTTGAGCAAACGCTATTGATTAACTATTTCAATATACTACACAGAGAATTTAAGCCCTACTAGATGTGCAAAACGATGGTGTTTGCATTTATGACTGTTAAGTTTTAAATAATCGGATTTGAATCCAGTGCAGTTTGCAAGGTGCTGTCGTAAATCAAATTAAAACGTTGAGTGGTTAACGGTGCCCGCGAAGGAGAAAGAAAAATAACTCATTTTGAATCACTATGTTCAAAACACGTACACCCGTGAGGATTGGTACTCTTGAAAGAAACGTCTAATGGGAAATTCCATACGACCTGTTGCCGTTCGTCTTGGCTCTTTTGAGCGATTTGAGATATGCCTTCTTCGATACCCTATTTTACGGCATAATACACCGGTAAGAATCAACATACAACTGTGGCCAAAAATTCCACTTCTGAAATGATATACATGCAAGACACTTACGGTGACGATTTCCCAATCGGGCCCATAGACGAAAGTGTACTTGCAATACATGTTGTCATAGTTCGGAAAGTGAGCTTTTTCGATTTGTCCGACGACCGAGACCAGAAACACACCACCAGACGTACTCTCGCTACCCGACATTTTCAAGTTTTCTTTTAAATTTGCTGGGCGAATTTTTGTCGACCAAACGGGACGAAAAAATTGAACGAAAATTTAAACAAATGGTACGAAATCAGCAAAAGATTTGAGAAATTTGAATGAAAAATGAAAATACTAGAAATATAGAATATCTACAGAATACAGAATTTCAATATTTTGATAATCATTACAGAAACCGCCAGGCAATATTATTGGGATTATCAGTAGTCACGTTTCGGAGGTGTGACCAACTGAACGGCAAAATCTTTGAAGACAGTCTTTAGTCTTCTTCCCGCGGCGTTCGAACGCGCCCGTTGCATACAAATTGATAATTATTATGCATTTGTATCCGGCTGATGTGGAAAATAACAGTGCAGTTCATTTATCATTTCACATTTCCATCAATCAATCAATCACTTAGTACACATAAACAACGAGAGGAAGTCGCGAGAAGAAACACCATATCGTATTCATCGTTCAACAAAATCAAATAGAAATACCGGAACGGTATCAGCCACGACAGTAATAACTACACGGTAAACAGGAAAAAACGACCCGGTTAATGATACAAATTACTATAGCTATACATTAATTGTTAATTATAATTTATATTTTTATATTCAACTTAAGACTTAAGTCCCTAATTGATTACTTTTACACATGTTTTCCTCATTAAGGCCCAATAGTTCATATTTTGAGAAACCATATGTTTATAAAAAATAAAGACACTATGATATTATATTGTCTAATGATTTCCCATCAGCGAAAATGTACTTTTAAAGTACTTCAAATAATAGGAGTATGTTTATATAAATATATTATGGGTAAGTTTCAATAACGGGTATAGTGCTTAAACATACCACTCAGGTAATTTCACTTTAATTTTTTTAAATTTGTAACGTGTGATTTTTTAATTATTTCGTCTCCGTCTTACAAACGTACAAGGCAAAAACTGTTTTGCGAAGGATAGACCCACTCGGGCTGAAGTCCAAGCTGAGCAACCAAATTTGGACACTGTAAAGAGGACGATATTTACTGGGCAATATAGTTTTTATTTTTCTGATATCACAAATAGGAACAAGTTATTCAAGTTTGAAATAATGAATTTTTAAACAATAAGAACTTTTGTTGTATTTGAGACATCGCAAAAATAAAAACGACTTAGATCACTAAATGTTCTCTTATTAATGGTATGAAAATTTGATCGCTTAGCTTAGACTACGAGCGCCAACAGCTTTTGCTATGTTGTACGTTCGTGAAACGGATACAAGTTACAACACATGCGAGTGTGACGTCCTCTTAACGGATACTCTTTTTAATATTCGTTTTCATTCAGTCAGCGCGTCCGACACAGACGACCAGTGCGGCAGTGCTTAGCCAAAGATAAAAAATTGTTGTTGGAGTCTTGGTACATCTACGACTATACCACTTCGATAGAAAGGGAGCGCATAAAAAATCCGAAAATATTGTGTCCGAACCGCATCTCAGCCGAAAAAATGTTTATTGGTCATGTATTTTAATTTAGAAGAACCATATTTTGGGTGGCATTATTTCAGCTGACAGACGACAGCTAAAACTCGTTTCGGGCAAAATATTTATCGGATAAAAAAATTTAGTTTTATTATTTTCGACTACAAAGTTTGCGGACCAAATACTGTCGCGCAAGATATTAATGGGCTGAAACATTTTGTGGTAGATTATTATTCGATCTAAATATTTGTCGATTGAAATACTGTCAGCGATATTATTTTTGGACTTTTAAAGGCCCTCGATTGGAACAGGACGCGAAAAATATATACCTACTAAAAACGAGATCACCCGAACACTAAACGGCCACAATTTAAATTTTGTTCAGCAAAATTTAAAATGTTTTAAAAAAAAAAATTAAATAAGATCGATTATTCAGCTACTCTTTTAACAAAAATGTTAAAAGTTTAATCCACCACAATCGTACCCAGAAGATTAATACTCGATATACAACGCAACGTACCAAACAATATCAATGCAATATATTTTCAACTGAATTCAATATTGATTTATTACAGCACATTCATACTCTGCCACCATCAACACAGTTATTTCTTATGTACAATAATTTACAGCATTGGTCAATAAACGCAAATACCTAACTTGTAAGGTACTTTCAGACTGGTAATTACATTGATACAGGAAGATTTCACCCATAAGCACAATTAAAGAAATGTCTTCAATTGTGCCCGTAAGAAACCCTTTAACACTTGTATATAAAATTAAATAAGAATATAAATAATTTAAAAACACCAGCTGTAACTGTATTAAAAATTTATGTAAATTTAACCTATTTACAAATTTCATAATTGTAGAATTAAGTCACTTACATTTCAGTCATTAACTAAAACAGAAGTATCCTATAATAGTGAGAGAAAAGTTGAAGGGTATATTATTAGGTATAATATACCTAAAACCCAATAATCAGAGCACATGTGTTACAGAATACATCTGAAATCTTAAAAATATTTGTCTATGTTAAGTGCTAAATTACCTTTAACTGTACATATACATATATAAAAGAGCAACACTATCGTCTTTGATATGGATGATGCCGAACTTGTCTGTTTTGGTATTGTGGTGGAGGTGGTGGTCGATTAGTTCTGGTATTAAAACCACGTTTATTAGGCGGATTTCCCCTGAACTGTAGATAAGCTGGGTCTGATGAATAATGTTGACTTCCACCATCGACATAATGTTGACCACTTTCACTGCTAAAATGAGGACCACCATCTACAAAATGTTGAGATCCATTTCCATAGCTACCACCAACAAAAGCACCATCTCGACTGAATGCACGACTTTCATTGTATTTTTGTCTTTCTTCATATGCATCTTGCATTTCAAAATCACTGAATGACTGCGTTGATTGTTGAGTCATGCTTTCTCTTTGATTGTAATTTTCACTATAAGGCGGTCTCGGTGGACCAGATTCGCCCATAAACTGAATAGAAGCCCCCATATTTTCATGTGAGCGATATTGCCCAGGCACTGAAGATATCAGATTCGGTGGCTGGGAAAACATAGAGTTTGCAAATGATTGAGCTGGATTTTGAAGTGGAGGATAAGGGTACATGGGGAAACCTGCAGGTGGTATTGGCGGTGGTGGTTGCATAGGTGGTGGTGGCAATTGAGTAACACCCGGTGGGATTAACATTTGACTTGGTGCTGGTGGAGGGGGTGGAAGTGATGGGGGAGGTGGTGGTGGTGGCATTGTAGGCAGTGGTGGTCTTGTTGATGGAAGTGGAGGTGGACGTTTTAAGGGTGTCTGTTGCAATAACAATTTTGGTGGTATTGGAGGTGGAGGCAAATATGGTTTTTGAGCATTTGGTGGTTTTGGTAGAACATTAGAAACTGAAGGTTTAATTCCTGGTGGCATGGGTAATAATTGCTTGGCTGGAGAGGTATTTGGCGTAGTTATCAATTTCACATTTTTCGTTATAGCTGCTTGCATCGCTTGTTCAGGTGTAAGCACTACAATAAAAACAATGATACGAATAACACTTAAAAACTATAGCTCTAAAATATGCTGATAAAAGCTTTTTTTAGTCACAAAACAATAAAAAGCACATGAACTAAAAAACTCACTGTATTTAGCAGCCATTTTTTGCAACAATAACTTCTGATAAATGGACTGTGGGGGTATAACTTTCTTGGGAACTATAAATTTTTCTTGGCATGGAGGTGATGGTGGTGCATTTTTGTCTGGAGTTGAATAAAGATCCAGAACTTGATGACAAATATCTAAAAAAAAACAAAAAATTAATTAATTGTTTACTACCAACATTTTTCTCACTGCCAACTAATGACAATACAGAACTAATACATTTTCACACTTAGGAATGATTCAATTTTTCTGCCACCATATTGATGATTCTATAAAAAATGCAGCTCCTTTGAAAGGAGTCATTAATACCACCATAGGCTTGCATCTTAAACTGGCCAGGAATAACAAGGTTCTAAATTGTTATACTAGGTAATATTTTTTATTATTGTTTTAAAAAATTAACTATCAAATTTAAATATGATATTATTTATTCCAATTTAATGAACTATAGGCAGTCTTTTTTAATATAAGCAATAGTTTCTTATCTAGCACATATAATTTAATTATTATGCATTTCTATAATACTTAATCATTTATGTTTAATTATAATAATTTATAAACAATAAAAAAATTCAAAATGACAAAGCAGGATAAACCACAATGCTCCAGGTGCTATTTCAGGTTTAAAAATAAGGGTGAGTAATTTATTTTCAACATATTCTTTTTAAAAGTTGGGTTATTAACAAACAATTTAAAATAGTTGTGGACAACTATTATAAGGGCATTCAGACTTTATTCAAATGAAACTGGATAAAAATATTAAATGAACTTTAAAGTCCATATGAAACCAATGGCCATAAAAAAAAAAATTGAAACTAACTGCACAAATGACCATTTATATATATAGTACAAGTATTATGAATTATTATTATACAAATGTACAGTGCATACAGTTTTGCGGACATTTTTTCCAATTAAAAAAAAACTAGTGAAGTCAAAAAAAAGTCTAGGACCTGATGATCAGTATTCATTTTTCGATTTTATGGCTTAAATGCATTACACCTTTTAAAAACCATTACATTCAAATCTACAATTTAATTAAATATAATCTAGTTCAAGTTCTGGCATAACTGCTTTTTTTTTTTAGTGATATAATGCAACTAACCTTCAAGCAAATCCATATTCATTCCTTGAACAAACATATCCCACCAACGTAAATGATTTGGGGTACGACCCTGCCAATCATTGAGTTCAAATTTACTTAGTTTACATGCTAAATATATTAATGAAACTGCTATAATCTCTGGTTCCCACTGAAGACAAAGCGTTGTACATAAGCTGTAATAATAATGTATACTTTAGAAACAATTTTTAATTTAAACTTATGGAGATTAGGAATAGACTGTCATGTCCAATTGTACTGCTTAGTGGAAATATTGTATGTAGAGTTTCAATTATAAATACAATTAAATTGTTTAACCATCAAAATAGAAAATGTTTTTAAATTTAAAAATGTAGGCCATGTCCAGTCCATCCCTAAGGTCAAACAGATAGTTTTTACCTATCATTTACAAATGTCCAAGCCATTTGAACCATTTTAGTTAGTTTAGCCTTATCACCTGTTAAATATAACATAAAAATGATATAAATCCTTTAAACACTATAAATTTAGAAAATAATAATAACTGTTATTTACCTTTTAAGCATTTAGCATACTTTAATAAAAACTGATATGGATGATCAACTTGTAGATCAAATTTAATTGTTTGCAACAATATACGTTCGAGCACCATTACTTCTTCCTAAAATATTTTAATAATTTATGGACATCCAATAAAGTAGGACAACATTTATTTAAATAAATAACAATCTAACCTTGGGGTCTAAACCAAGGGTTTCATATTTTTCTTCGGGTAATATTGCTTTAGCCAACTTTATTATATCTTTACATTTCTTAGGTGTTTCTTCTACTTTACCCGCAAGAAAAAGACAACAGCATGCTGTAAGCTGAAATAAAAAACCGGCACATACATTAAATGTCACATAATGTAAACCCAAACCATAAAATTATTATTATAGATGAGAAGAAATTCAAGTTTTAAATTATGAAAAATCAAAATGTATTAAAAAGTAATTGATTGAAACACACAGCACTACCTATATTTCCTTCAAATTAATAATATTATCTCAAGATTTTGTAAATAATTATTAGTACAAACAAATGTATGTTTGGTTTTATTCATTAACTGTCATATATATATTATGTTAGGTTAACATCAACATTGTTATTGAAACGCAACAGTGATAACCTTAAAAAATTATCATGTAGGTAATTAGAACAATTTTAGAAACAAACAAAACGGTTTGGATACCAATGCAACACATGACATATGGGTGTATCCAAAAGTTACATAAAAACATGAAACACTTGTAGGTAGTTTGGTGTGTTGGTTTTTGTAGTTTTAATCAACTAATCTGAACATTATACTGTTTACAGACATATTGCAACGTAATAGAGTAAATAACAGCACAATGCGAAGAAGTACAACGGCCACAATTTACTACTAGTGCTGCAGCATATGTAGGCCTTACTACAAATCTTTTTCTTGTGAACATGTACTGATTAAAATAGAAATATTACAATATGGTGAATATGGTGATAATGGTGTCGAAACAAGTACTATTAACAATCACCATTCAACAAGCAATAAATGTAAACAAAAATCTATTTTCTAAGAAAATTCTAATCTATTTCGACAACTGAAATATCGATATTACAAGGTTGGTGGATTTACTGTAACATTACTCACATATCTAGGAAACGTTTTGAACGAGTGATACATGTAAAAGCGATGAAAGTAAACGACACCGGTGGCCATCGTGTTGTAGCCCAAGTCCATCTTCGTACCAGCGTCTATGATGAACCTTGCCCCTTCTTGACGGTACCGGGACTCCCTCTCATGTGGTATGCCATCCTGAGCCGAGGCAGTCCGGTGAAGCTCGTCCTTGTCGAAATACCAAAAGGCCATTGTCGTAATACTAAGCGGGTCTGCAAGACATAAATTATCGAAATGTGATTATATTTTACACTTCAGAGTTCAGACGTGAAACACTCAAACACCAGGTACCAGACGTCTATAGCCAATACCCTAGCAGTCAAGTCAAGTCGACACTCGATACTTCGACGGTGGAAAATGGTCATAACTAAAGAGCGGTTTATATCTCTACAAAATAAACGTTTTTTTATCAATGTCGTGGAGTAGAAATATCGCTCGATCCGTAAATGGAATAAACGACACGTGTGAGTACTTCC